ATTTTTACTAATGTTGCTTGTATTTTCTGGGTATATAATTATTTTGTCAGCAATATAAATATACTTTTTTGTCCAATATTTATATGAATTATTTCAACTTTATATCATATTGCATTAACCACAGCCTCTAAAATGGTGTGATTAAGGGATAATAGTAGGGACAGCTCTGTTAGTAATTGAATAGTTTAGGATTTTATTACTTAGAATTATATTTGTAATGAGATATGAGTAGACAAAGTTTTAGCCAAGAACAGAGGTCAGTAAACTATGCTCTGTGAACTAAATTTGCCACCCATTTTTTTTAATAAAGTTTTATTGGAACATAGCCCTGCTTGTTCATCTATGAATTTTCTATGGTTGCTTTTTGCTGTAATTGAAGTGTGGAGTAATTGTGACAGAGACCATATGACCCACATTGTCTAGAGCACATGTGTCAAACACAAGGCCCGCGGGCCAAATCCGTCCCGCCAGGCCTTGCAATGTGGCCCGCACCGCGCTGTCATCACTGCACTCCGCTGCGTTTCCATCACAATGACAGTTTATGACTGTTCAGTAAACCATTCGGCCCGCGATTTAGGCTGGATTTTAGAATTTTGGCCCCTTCTCTGATTGAGTTCGACACCCCTAGTCTAGAGTATTTATTACCTGGCCCTTTGCAGGAAAAGTTTCCCAACAACCGCTGGTCAAGAGAGGTTATGCTGTGGTAACTCCAAAATCTCAGTGGTTTAACACATTTGTTCCTAACTCCCACAAAGCCAGCTGTGGGCCTGGGCAACCTCCAGTCATGCTATTCTCCACAAAGTGACGCAAAGTAGGCTGTTTCAATCCTGTGTCTCTGCCATCACGACACAAAGCCTTCTGAATCACCGCGGCGGAGGGAGAGAGCACACCACGTTCTCATACTGTGCTCTCCATGACGCAGCCCCGCCCGTTAATCAAGACTACTCAAATGACCCCACCGAGTCAGCTGCAAAAGGTCTGGGAAATAAAACCATCTGTATGCCAGAAACCAGATATTGGTAAGCATTATTAATATCTACCAAACAGACTTTATTACATTTTAGTAACTTCTTCCTATTCCTATTAAAATGTTTTTATTCTGTTGTTAAATTTTCAATATCTAATGGTATGTTTCTGTGAATTTTCTCCATAGTAAAAGTAGTAAATAATACCCATAAACTTTCTGGGAGGGAAACATTCAAGTGTTTCTGCAAGAAAGTCTATTTAGTTAAAGTCTAATTATTTTTTAATAACAGTTTAAATATTATTTTGCAACTATATTCGTAAGTGAGATTAAGTAATTAAGGGTTTTTTTTCCCTTTTTGTACTATCTTCATTATATTTTATGAAAGGCTGGACTCAATCCTGGTACTCATTAAAATTGTTCAAGGAAGTCTTGCAAAATACTGATGTCCAGGACCAAGTCCAGACCAACTGAGTCATAATCTTTGAGTATGGATTTCAAGCAGCAGTGATTTTTAAAACACTGGTGATTCTAACTGTGGAGAGAGAGAGAGAGAGAGAGAGAGGGAATTCCCTTTAAATGAGCAACATATAAACTAATGGCTGACTTTTTACCAAAAAAAAAAAAAAAAAGAAGTGGAACTCAAATGACAATGGAATGATATCTTTAAAGGACTAGAAAAAAAAATTACTGCAAACCTAGAAGTGTATACCTGGCAAAAATACTTCAAGAATGTAGGTGAAATAATGACATTCTCAGATCAATGTTTCGGAATAGAAGGCTGTAGCAAAGGCAGGTTATGTAGCATTAGACTGCTTAGGAACACTTTTCAACAATATCATGTGGTTAAACAATGTCTCTGAGAGTGGGCAATCAGATTTTCCTTCCTCTCTCTCTCTGCCTTGTTTGGTGACAGCGGAGGAGACCTGATGAGGAAGAGACTAGACTTCCTACAAACAAGGGCATGAGACAGCGGAAGTGTTTTAATGAGAAGGAAATAAAAGAAGCACAATTACAGTTACATTGGGGAAATGTCATATATAAGTTAGAAATGTAGAAAATTTAACCACAGTTCACTTAAATTTGGGATTTGTTTGTTTGTTTTTTCCTTATGTCACATGAAATCCAGGAGTAGGCCAACTGACATTAGTTTAGCAGCTCAAATATATCATGCCTGAGACTTCTGTGACTCTCTTAGTCTTTAGCTCATGGTCTCAAGATGTCTACTAAAGCCGTGGTCTGCAAACTGCAGCTCACGAGCCACATGCGGCTCTTTGGCCCCTTGAGTGTGCCTCTTCCACGAAATACCACGGCCTGGGCGAGTCTATTTTGAAGAAGTGGTGTTAGAAGAAGTTTAAGTTTAAAAAATTTGGCTCTCTAAAGAAATTTCAATCGTTGTCCTGTTGATATTTGGCTCTGTTGACTAATGAGTTTGCCGACCACTGTACTAAAAGTAAAGCCAACCAAATTCACATTTCAACATGGAGAAAAAGGAACATAACACAAGGGAAAAGTAGTATAGATCAAAATAAGGAAGTAAGACATCCCGAAATTTTCAGCAGTGTTCTGTAAACAAGAAATAGGCCTACCCTGACAGAGAAATAAAAAGCATTTATTTGAATACAGAGGTTGCAACTGGGAGACACAGATTCAAACCTAAAGTATAGTGGTCCTCGGGTTACGTCGGAGATCAGTCCCTATGGCGTGACGTAATGCAGTTTTCTTTTCTTTTCTTGTCTTTTTTTTTTTAATATATTTTATTGATTTTTTCAGAGAGGAGGAGAGAGGGATAAGAGAGCTAGAAACATCACTGAGAGAGAAACATCGACCAGCTGCCTCTTGCACACCAGGGATGTGCCCGCAACAAATGTACATGCCCTTGACCGGAATCGAACCTGGGACCTTTCAGTCCACAGACGGACTCTCTATCACTGAGCCAAACCGGTTTCGGATGTAATGCAGTTTTCTGTGTAAGTCGGAACCCAGCTACATAAGCACCTACGTCACTCACATGGAGCACAGACACAGCAGTAATGAAGTGAAACAGTATTAACAAAATGTAAAAGAAACAGTATTAACGAAATTTAAACGAAAGATAACAATTTATGGAGCTTTACTTGTGGTAAATAATAAAAAACATAAAGCACATATATACATGCGTCCAAATTACAGAATTTTTTTATATAAATAAATGGGAGATGGCGATGTAACCACGAAACGATGAGGATGTAACGTGAGCACTACCTGTATGTACCACAAAAAAAAAAAAAAAAGGACAGGCTTTATAAAGCCTCTGGGCACATGGGCAGTCAGTCCTCAATCTGGTCCTCTCAGGTCAATGAAGGCTTCTGATAGGTTAACTGAGACTGGTTAGTTTGGGTATGCAAATGGAGGATGCTGGTTGGCAAAACGGGTTGGCTCTTTCAAAGTAAGGAACTTAGGTGATCTGGTTGCCTTGATGAGGAAGAGATGAAGGTCCAGGCAAGGCTGAGGAGCTCGAAATTTCCTGGAGAAATACGCTGGGTGGAACATGTGCATGACCAACTTCTTTAAGGCCTCCTGGCTCTGTTTGGTTCTCTGGACATCACAGTTTCCATTCTCAGTTCCATGTACTTCCGATTGTTCAGGACAGTTATCACAAGACCCTCCACCCAACTAAAAAGGAAGCCAACCAATGTCATTGTCTTAGTGAGGTACAATGCCCCCCAAACAAAAGCAGAGTTCTGTCAGTAAGGAGGAAAGGGAGAGTGTTTACCGGGTCGGCCAGTGGTGAGGCTGCTGTTCCAATGCCACACAGAACCCATACTCCTAACTTCATAAAATCCACTGTAATGGCTGCATGAACTTACAAAATACCTCTATTTAGAACAGTCAATGTTTCTTCAAAGTTGTGCTTTATTCTCTGAACGTGGTGCTTTTTGGTTGGTTTGTTTGCTTGCTTCTCACAGATGCTTCCAGGCTGAATTTGTGGAACATGGTTTGGACACCACCAAGATTGTTTTATTTTTATGGTCAGTAAAAAATGTTCTCTTAGAAAGTCAGAGGACATCATTAGAAATAGTATGTTAAGGAGTAAACATAAAACGATTCCCTCGAAAGTTAACATCAGATTTATCCATCAAACAAGGAAACGCACTTTCTCAGCATCTGGGCCATGAGACAGCTGGACTGACCCCACATAGCGTTTGTAACCTGCCCTACGTAACACCAGGCTTTTCGCTTCCCGGGGCTGCTGTAACAAGTGGCCACAAATGTAGCAGCTTAGAACAACTCGCATGGGCCGTACAAGCGTGGCAGTCAGAAGTCCAGTGGGCCACCCTGGGTTAAAGCCAAGCTCCCCAGGGCGGCGTCCTTCCCGGAGGGTCTGGAGGAGATGGCTTCTTCGCCTCTTCCCGATCCCAGAAGCGGCCCCGTCCCTCCAGCCTCCGCCAGCAGCCTCTGGCTAAGGCCATGGTCGGCACACTTCAGCTCACAAGCCACAGGCGGCTCTTTGGCCCCTTGAGTGTGGCTCTTCCACAAAATACCACGGCCTGGGAGTGTCTATTTTGAAGAAGCGGCGTTAGGAGCTAAGTTTAAGTTTTAAAAATCTGGCTCTCAAAAGAAATTTCAATCGTTGTCCTGTTGATATTTGGCTCTGTTGACTAATGAGTTTGCCGACCCCTGGGCTAAGGCCTTCTCATGCTGTGGTCTTGCCAGGTCTCCCTCCTCCAGGTGTCAGGACCTTGTGATGCCATTGGGCCCACCTGGCAAAGCCTCCCCTATCTTGAAGTCTGCTGGCTAGCAACCTTAATTCCACCTGCCACTTACCCTCCCCTTACGGAGAGCCATAGTTTCCAGGAATTAGGAAGTAGACCTCTGTGAAGGTCAACACTCTGCCTATCCCAACTGACAAACGTTTTTCTCCTCCGTGGGCTTGTTGGAAGGATTGCATGAGCTAATGTAAGCAAGCTGACAGTCACAGGGCAGACATTGACTCAGTACTGGGTGGTGATTCCACCCTTGATCCACCCCCATCAAGTCTAACCTGCACACTCACCCCCTCCTCCTACCCCCATGGCTATTGCCTGGCCCAGGGTGAATGGCCTTTGAATCAGATATAATTCAGCCACTCAACAATCAGGATACTCTTCAAAGCTAACCATCTTCTTGGTCCCTGGCTCTTGGCTAGGATAGTATTTTGAAGCACAGGCATGGTGCACATTAAGTGAGATCCATTCCAAACCGGTGTGCACAAAACATGAGGCATATACAATACCTGCCTGAGAGCAGAGAAAAGCCAGAAATAAATTGAATTTCAAAAGTAATAAAGTTAATGAGTTTGAGTTTCAAAAGAGAAAACTCAAAGACAGTTATGTGTTAATATTTTTAATGGTAAGAAATTTAGGAGTTTTTGCTTCATAAATTACTGTTATTTTTTAAGTCCTGCTCAAGCTTGGCTCTCCTCCTCTCCTCTTGGTCAGAGGTTGTATTGACAATTGATGGAAGTCACACAGATGAAAGTAATGTAATTAAAGGTATCACTCTATAGTATCTTTTCATCAAAAATACTACAAGGACTAAGCCACATTATTGCTATAATTACCCCAACTCTATGGTGGAAAAACAAACTTTATATTAACTACCTGATATCTTCTAAGGGAGGGGAGGAAGTTTGACATCTATTCTTAGAATCAAGACACACGCTCCCATCAGTTGGTAATTGCAGTTTGAGTAAAAACTGTAATTGATTTTGTTTGACATGTGGATTTTCTAAAGGAATTCGTACAGTCAGTGCAGATGGGATAAACCAACTTGGGCTTTCCCTGGTCCAGAAAGCTTTAAGATGTAGGACCACACTGCCACCTGGTGGCAGCATCAAATTTTGCAATAATTCATTTTCAGAATTCACCAGCCTTTATTATTTAAAAAGTGAAAAGTATGTTTTTTAGGTGGTTAACATCTAAGTACAAGAAAAATAAAAAGGGTTTAAGGAACAGATGATTTTTGTGGTGCCAAACTAAAACAAAATGTTCTGTGAGTTCTGAATCTTTCTTAGGAAAGCCATTAGCCCAATTCCTCTGTGGAACTGACAAGCTGGAACTCCTGAGCTCACTTCAGGTGCCCCTGATGCTAACAGCAGTGCCATTTAGCCCACATGAAATCAATGAGGCCGTGGAGAGTAATACAGTTATGTACCTAGTTTTAGACAGGGGTCTTCAAACTTCTCTCATTATGAGAATCACCTGGTGGAGGTGTTAAAACACAGATTCCTGGTAGCACTTCTTATAGTTGGGATCCGGGAATCTGTGTTTTAACAACTCCACCAGGTGATTCTCATAATGAGAGAAGTTTGAAGACCCCTGTTTTAGAGCATCAAAGGAGCTCCAAGCGTAGGTGCTACATCAATCCAGTAAATGCCAGTGGTTCCTTTTTCAAACACATCATGCCAGTTAAACTATTGGGGATGAAATATTAAGGAGAATTTCAAAAGGTAAATTAAATGAGCACAACAGCCAACAATTTACAGACAGAGGAGAGCACCGAGCTCCTGCTTTGTTGTGATGGAATGAAAGACGTGACTCCCCTGGACGCTCTTGAGCGGTCTACCCTGAGGGACATGATAAGGAGTTAGTGGGTGACTTGGTGCCTCAGGAGGACAGAATCTCTCTGATCCTGGAAAACTCAACAAAATGGTTCCGATTTGGCCTGGCAGGCGTGGCTCAGTGCGGACTATGAACCAGGTGGTCACAGTTCAAATCCCAGTGAGGGCGCATGCCCAGGTTGCAGGCTCAATCCCCAGTGTGGAGTGTGCAGGAAGCAACCGATCAATGATTCTCTCTCATCATTGATGCTTCTATCCTCTCCCTCTCTGAAATCAATTTTAAAAAAATTTATTAAAAATTTTTTAATAATTCCTATTTTAAGCCTATACAACAATTTACATCTAACTATAATTGTTATATAAATTTGACCCAGTTATCCAAATTAAGGCCACATACTAGCATATCTTCTTAATCGGATTACAGAATCAAGCACCAAGCACTGAGGCTTTCCCAGGGGCGCCTGTCTGAATCCACAAAAGGGCCACAGTGATGCGCTGGCCCCAACTGCCCAGGCCCCCTTGACTTCACCTGTCACAATGTCCATGCATAGAATCCCTCCAGCTCTTCCTTAAAAAGCCATCCCTGCCTGCTGCTCTCCAAACCCCCACTCTGTTCCACTGCCTTTTTAAACAGAGGCCCGAGTCTCTCCCAGAGAGTCCTCAAAGTAAAAAGAAAGAAGTTTGAGGGGCTCCCTCAGGAAAACGGCCACCTCTTCATGATCTATTCCAAGTTGCACAGTGGCAACCATATTCCCCCAAGACTTGCCCATGAACTCTGGTGTCTGATTTGAGAAGTTCTCACCTGAGCCACACACCCCTCAGGCAGTGTAGGGGCACCACTCTCATGTTCCTCTCATAGCTTGAGAGTGGGGTGGGACCAGGATCCAGACATGTCCCCTTAGGCTGGAAGGACCCTGCAGGGCTCTGCCACCACCACCTCCCCTTGTAGGAAGGTCCACAAATACACGGGCAAATCCACCCATGCTGTACCTGCCTCTCTGCTCTTGGATCTGGGCCCAAGGCTTGCCTCATTTCCAAATAGCCACTTCCCAGAATGACTCATGTTGGGAGCACCAATACCTTTCCAGAAAAATCTTAACCCCGGTCCCCACAATCTCAACATTCACTAAGAAGCCAGCATTTCCTAAAGTCAGGGGTGTTTCATACCTGCATGCTCATCTGGAATGCAAAACTGAAATGAAGGGGAATGCCCTCACACCTAAAGGCCTCTCATTTTCTGGAACCTTTCCTGGAGCTCAGTCATTTCCTATGAACCCAGAAAGGTGTTTGCTAGATGGAGATAGTAAGTGGAAGCAATAGAGTTAAAGGTATGATCAAAGCATGGATTGTAATCGTGGACAGTGACACCAACTCTGAATGATGAGAAAACGATAAACTTTGTGGAAGAGTTAGGGTCAATTGGGACTATTTCTGCAACTACAATGAGAGGATAGAAAGCCATGCTCACAAAGCGGTAAATCAGAAGTCAAGATCCCCATGACATTTCTGTCCTGATGGTGACAACCTTCAGAGAGAGTGGGACAGTGAGTGGCAGACGGGGCGAGGACGACAGGCCACTGAAGAAGGGAAGTCAAGAACTAGAAACCTGCCCACTGAAGTCATGGAAGGATCTACAAGTGCCCACTGGGACTCACAAAGTAGCTACTGATTTAAGTCAGTAGCCCTGCCATGAAGGGCTACCAAGGTGGAGGGTGAAGCGATACCGGACCAGGCACACTCTGCAGCATGTGGCTGAGACTGGAGGACCAGCAGCCCTGTGAAATACGAATCTTTGAGATGAGAATAGTGTTGTTAATGACTTGAACCTTGAGTTAATATGAGAAAGACTTAACCAAAATAGACTGACTAAACCAGAAGAAACTGAGATCCCTTTAGGTGTGAAATTTTGTCTCTCTGGCCCTGACTGGGTCACCTTTCTCTCTGAACTAGAGGGATGTGCGGATTGGTGGGGGGACTGGGAGCAGGAGCTGCCATGCTACAGGGATGGGGAGCAACAAGATCATGACTAGAGAACAACAGTGCAGCAAGGAGGCAAGTGAACTATGGATGGAGTGCATTGGAAATGAGAAGTCATTTCTGCCAGAGGAAGAGGAAATGGTCATTCAGAATCCGCATGAAAATGAGGAAGGAAACCAGCCCTGCCTCCTGGCTCTTAAGTTCCTTCTCCTTTGATATTAGGCTTCTGTCAGAACATGCTGACCATAGCCTATCCCTAGGAGGTGAAGATAGAGGAAGTTTGTTGATCGTACACTGTGAATTCCAGAGCTCTGTGCTGAGATTAGGACACAGGTGAGGGATAGGATCAAACGGAAGCAGGTCAGTGAGAACGCATTTTATATTGTTAAACTGCGTGTATGCATGATTGTGCTTGCTCTCACTCTCTCTCCAAAGACTTACTGAGCACCTACTATATGCCAGTTGATTCTAGGGGAGTGGGGATACAGCAGTGAACAATACATGTAAAATCCTGCTCTTGTGAAATTTTCATTTGGTGGAGCAGACAATAAACGGACGAGTATATGGCATATTCAGTGGAAGTGAGAGACAGGGAGAACAGACGTGGATGGAAGTTAGCGTGGTGGTACAGGTTTAGTTGGAAAGGCTACCAGAGTGAAGGCCTAAAAGAGGTGAGGGGTGAGCCACATGGACACAGAAGAGCATTCAGAGAGAGGAACATCTAGTCTCTGAGACTAGGATATGCTGGAGTGTTTTACAAATACCCAAAGACAGGCCAAGTGGAGTAAAGGAAGGAGCAGGAAATGATTCTAGAGGTCAGTGGGGGTGGGGGAGACTACAGAGCCTTGTTGACTTTCACTCAGAATGAAGTACGAAGGCTTTAGAGTATCTTGAGTGTAGGAGAGAGATGATCTGACTTAATAGGAAGGGGTCAGGGGTGGAGTCAGGAAGTTCGGTTAAAAGACTATGGAGAACAGGAGGGAAATGAAGGGGTCTCAGATCAGGGCGGTAGCAATACAGGTGGTGCAAAGTAACTGGATTCTGGGGGTATTTTGAAAGTAGAGCCAACAGAAGTGTTTACTAACATGAAAGAAGGAAAGAATCAAGAACAACTCCAACGTCTGTGGCCCCGTCAACCAGAAGGGTGTCGATGGGAAAGACTTCAACGAAGCAAGTGTGGGAGTGAAGACATACCTAGTTTGAGGTGTTGAAAGGGTGCCTAAGGTGGTTGGGTGTGTAAGTCTGGAATTCAGGAGAGAGATCTGAGCAGGAGGTTAGATCTTTCAGCTAGATGAAGAGGAAAGCCAATGAGTCAATGAGGGAAGCAAGGGGACATATGTAATATTTTCAATAATATTTAATTTTTTAAAAAAGAAATAATATAACAAAACTTATGTGCTGTTTCTCAGCTATAAATCAATTTCCGCCCGTCCCTGTATATGTATGCTTTATGCAATATGCAATGCATATACATTATGAATACATGGAGCATATATATATATATATATATATATATATATATATATATATGTTACATGTATACAAACTGAATATATTTTATCTATATAGAGAATATAATAAAGCAAATGGGGCAAAATGTTAATAACTGATGAATCTATCTAAAGAGTGTATGAGTTTTTGTACTTATAATTTCAAAATTGTTTCCAGGTAAAAAATAAACTATTTTATTATTTACCAAAACATATATATTTTTATACTATTGATATGTATTTACACTAAATATTATCTATATTTGGCACACACCTAGGCATTTAGAAAGCTATTAATTTATCTCTGGGGAGTGAGATATTGGATTTTTCCTTTTCTATAATTTCCAAGCCTCTATAATCAATATTACCTTCATAAAATAATTTTTTTTAAAGTAAACCACATTGGCCCAGCCAGTGTGACTCAGTAATTGAGCATCAACCCATGAGCCAGGAAATCGAGATTTGATTCCAGATCAGGGCATATACCCAGGGTTGTAGGTTCAATCCCCAGCAGAAGGCAGCTGGTCAATGATTCTCTCATTTCTGATGTTTTTATTTCCCTCTCCCTCCTATAAAATCAATAAAAATACTTTTTTGAAAAGATGTCACAAAACAGGCTGCTTTCCTTAAAAAATAGGCTCCTTCTCTAAATCTTAAAATGTTTACACTTTCTCACAATCATCCATTACCATTAAGCAGCTATTAAAACTTAAATTCCTGCCATACTTTTGACATATGATTAAAGGACAAAGTAAATGCAATGTTAATGTTTGTGAACCATAAACTATGCAAGGTTGTTTCCAATAGGTTTTACTTCCTCGTCACCAGCTTACAAGGTTACAGAAGAGACACGTGGAAAACCAGGCAGCGTCACTGATGAAGCTGCACTTTGGAGAGGTTCCACCTGTTCAAGGACACACGTCTGCTCAAGGGCAGAGCTGCGATCCGAATCTGACACATTCATCTATCCTCCAAAACCCGCACTGCATACATCCTGTTGCCTCTACAGGTTCTTTTTGTGCATACAGATGACGACTACATCTGCAGAACTGTCTAAATGAACTGTTATTTTTTAACCAAGCAATCAGTATTTTCCACCTCATAGGTATCTGCTTTGTGCTGAGCTCTGCTCTAGGTGCTGTATTCTTCAATCCCCTATACACCCAGTGAAGTAGGCATGCTTACTATCCCATCTTAGAGGAGAAAGCTGGAGCACAGCGAGATAAAATGCCCAAGGTCCTAACTAGTGACGTTACATAACCTACAGTGTCACTCCAGACCCCAGGCTCATAACCACTTTAATATGCTTCCTTTTCATACTCATGCTTAGTGTCTGAGTTCACTTGTTGAAAGGCCACCTATAAAGAGCCTGAATTTCAAAATACCTTATATTCTGAAACCACATTGCAACCATACCCCAACTCCTAGTCACTAGTGCAGTGTGTAATAAATTATTCTTGATGCCAAAATCTTGAAAAGCAGAAACAATTTAAACTCCCAGTACCCAGTGACTGAGGCCCAAGGTCTCATTGTTATTGAGCACCCTTAGTTAATTTCACAGCATTGTTAGCTTTCCTCAAAAGCAGCATGGGACCCAAGTGAAGGGGCCAAGACTTTGTTCTACCACAGTAAGCCTAGGCAAACCTATTTCTCCAAGTTCTCCTCTGCTAGAAAGTTGGAAAGGTTGTTCTGAAAAGGTGGTGTGTGTTTGTATCCTGGCACACTATAGCTACTCTATAAAAGTAGTGTTTAGTGCTCCTCAAACTTAACGCTTAGGTTTCAAATGACCATTTTTGGACATTCGGGCTCAATCATCTGTTGACTAGGTCTGTGTCAGTGTTTTTCGCCACGTAATAGGATTCCCTTAGATACCATTGTCCAGAACTGATTTCCAATCTGGTATCATCTTATCCCACCTCTACTCTCACTAGTGTCCAGTTCAGGACAAGTACGCAATGTTAGTAACAGGTGATGAGCATCTAAACTAGGTTCACAAACTCAAATGCATACAGGGATTTTGTGGGTAACTAACAAAGCTATAACAAGAAGTGATGGGAATTGCAGATAATACTGAAAAGAGGTTTTTGTTGCCTTTAGGAATGCATGTGTTCCAAATCTGGGGGGATTTTTCAAAAGTAAGTATTCCGTATTTTTATGTGACATTTCTCCATTTTCAAAACATGCAAGGAAAATTACCATCACACCAACACACAAATCTGTAGCATAGGCAAGGATACATAGGAACATGAAGATCTCACATGTATTCACACACATCATCTTTTCATAAAGTATGTGCACATGTAAATACACATATACAGTAACACATATAGGCTTTCGTCTGGCCAGCCTTCATCTCTCAGTCCCAGAACAAACCACCACCACATGTAGCTTCAGCAGCAGTGTCAGGGCCCTTGTAGGTACTGGTGTCATTTCAATTCTAGCATTGGCAATAGAAAACATCACTGCAATGGGTCCAAGCCGGTAGAGCAGAAAATGGTGTATTAGTTCATGAAACACAATTGAAGACACCCCCCCGACCAAGCGATATACTTCAAAGTGTGAGGGCTTCCAAATAAGAACTTTTAGGTGAGGGTAGGGTTATCGAAATAAAATTGTGTGTGAAGGACATTTTAAAACATGCAAAATTCACTATATACAATTACATAAACTTGTAGTTAAGTACTAATATTGATGCAGGAACAAGACGGATATGCATAAATTTCAGGTTAGTGGTTTGACAAAGGAAAATGTGCTTGGAGGGGGTATTAAAGGGATTTCAGTTACCGTTATCTTTAATGATTTGTTCTTTAAAATTTGCAAACTTAGAAAAATAAAATTTGAAGACTGGAGGAAACTTGATAATGAAGTAAAAACAAAGTCGAAGAAAACACCATTCTGCAGGCACTATAGTCCACCTATACCCACACAATTGTGGTACGGGAAAGAGACACTATTAAACGTAAAACTTCATTTTTTATCGACTTCTGCAATGCAGTTTTTTAAGTGTTAGAAAATCTAATCATTATTTGACGGAAAGAATTTGCTTACATATTTAAGTAGCTTAAACACTATTTGTTGGGAACACATATCATTTAACATCTCAACCAAATGCAAAGAAGTTACAAGACTTGTTAAATACTCCACAATGGGCTCTAACTCGTTTGGCTCAGTGGATAGGGCATTGGCCTGCGAACTGGAGTCCCAGGTTCGATTCTAGCCAAGGGCAAATAATTTAATTGCAGGCACATCCCCTGTAGAGGGTGTGCAGGAGGCAGCTGACCAATGTTCCGCTCTCATGATGTTTCTATCCCTCTCCCTTCCTCTCTGTAAAAAATATGTATTTTTAAAAATTTAAAAATACTCCACAATGGTAGCTGTAGCCCTCATATGGCATATTCAATTGCAATCAATGCAAATAATTTTTAGCACACAATTAGCACTTTAAAGTTCATGCTGAAAACCTTTCAGTATACATTCAATATACTTATCTCCCTGGAATTTCCATTCCACTACCACTTATTTTACAAAGGAACCATTTTACCAAATTATGACTCTTATCAAAGCATTTCCTCGTTGCAAACTGTAGAATCTTGGTAATAAGTCAAGTTTTCTTAAAACATACGTAAGTAAATTTCCCAGTTGACAAATTCACTTGGGGTATGGGGGAGGGAAGTCCTCAAAGTCAGAGAAATTTTTCCTTGGGGAGATGAGTTCACTTATGTGATGAATTCAACATGATCACTAGACTTTTCAAAAAAATTTAACTTTATTTCAATAATTTCATAGGACTTGATGGCAAGGTACACAAATGCACTCTAAGGAATATTTTGCAACAAAACTTTTCATTCTCAAAAGTTTATCTTTAGCTTGTCTTTAGGTTGCAATTTTTTTTTTTAAAGGTCCAGATTACAAGTACAGAGATTTCCCATCTTTTTTTTTTTTTATAATATATTTTATTGATTTTTCACAGAGAGGAAGAGAGAGGGATAGAGAGTTAGAAACATCGATGAGAGAGAATCATCGATCAGCTGCCTCTTGCACATCCCCTACTGGGGATGTGCCTGCAACCAAGATACATGCCTTTGACCGGAATTGAACCCGAGACCTTTCAGTCTGCAGGCCAATGCTCTATCCACTGAGCCAAACCGGTCCCGGCGAGGTTGAATTTTTAAGTGAAGTATTTCCCTAAATTTACTTCCAAGTATCATGATACACACCCTCCCATATTTACCTATTATACATTTAAGGATATACACTTTGGATTAAAATAACACACAAAGAGCAAGTTTGCTCTTTCTATATAACACTATATTAAAACTCTTTATGTAACTTCTAACAAACCTCTACTTCTTGAAATAATGTGTTAAGATGAGGAATTACATTATCCAGGAATGTGCAACGGTACTTGCAATTCCAACTCTTCATAACATTTTAGAACTTAGGTGTCAATAACTGCTAAAAAATCTTTTTCTTGAATATTTCACATCCCTTCTTTGTAGAATCATAAATAGTATCAAGAGTTTAGACCATGATCAAAATTCTCTAGCCCTGAAGGTTACATAAACCATTTCTCTTAAGTTCTATAACCTCCTCTATATAATACATTAATATATTTGCTTACTAATGTTCATGTTGATTTTTTTCAAGAGCTGTATTGCTAATGGGCAGTTTATTTCATCTCACTTGTTTTAGAGATAATGGCGAGAGAAAAAAAAGCCTAAAAATTTAAGATCAAGTTTTCACAAAGAAGTATCCGTTTTAAATATTGCCTTTAAGTAAACTCAATGGCGACATAAAATTACCTAACCATTTTTTGTGGAGATAGTACTTGACTTTGTCCAGGATATAAGTCATTTCCTTTGCATGGCAGAGTATGTTTAAGAGCATGGACTCTAGGATCAGGCTATCAAGATCCAACTTTACATAACCCCTGACCTGTTACGTAAAGCTGTGTAAATCTGAGCATGTTTTAACCTCTCTGGAGCAGTCTGCCACCCTGCACCCTATACAATACAGGTAAGAACAGTATCTACTTCATAGGATCTAGATGACTAAATGAGTTGACATAAAATATAGAAGTTGGTAGTAAGTACCTTGAAAACCATCTATTACTTGAGAAATATATAACAGGCAAAATAAATTTCCTGGTGGGTAAAGATAATCACTTCAGGTGTTAACTAAGTGGTAATTAAAAATGAGCCCCATAAAATTTCTTAAATCATTTATTTTCATACAGACAGCTCACTTATTTACAAGTTTAAAACTGGTATGCTAACTTTACAAAGATAGCTCTTGCACTAAAGCAATAACTAAAGGTGACTCCTACAACGTATTTTTAAAGATTAATATACAAAGAATTCTGAAAACACAGCTTCCTGTACTCTAGGACTGACGTCTTGCTTAAACCTATTTTGTATACAGCTTTGACATTTAAAAGCCTATAATATAAAGCAATTGTCTGGCTGCAAACTAAAATGAGTAGAGCTTAAAAACCAATGACCATCCAGCTATCCACCCAGATGAATCATTTTTCTACAGGTACTGCTCAAGCATCATTTAAATTCGTCACATTGAGTTAATGTACTGCAGCTGAATTTCAATAAAAATAAGTTATCTTAATAGTTTATTTCACCTAATTTTAAGACGGGTATTATATACAGAAACAAATGGAAAACAGGACTTGAGTTTTAAAACAAAAAAGATATTGGTATGCCTAACTAGAAAAAGAATTACCTGGTTAAATTTTACATTATAAATATCCATCTTAAGGTGAAGTGATAATAAAAATAAAGCATTTTACAGTCACTTATGCTTGGTTTTCAATAAACCAGAGAAATAAATGAAAAAAAAATACGATACAGAATTATAATTTATGATGATTATAGGGAAATGTCCATATAAACCGATAGCTGCTGGATGTCAGAAATTGGCATTTTTTTTTGTAATGTATTTTTCAAATTCTCTAAAATGCACATTATTATTTCTACAATCAGAAACACAGAAAGATAAAATGTTCTTTCTCTTTAAGGATGGATGTCCAAACTTCTTTGCACCAGTCCCCAACAGGTCTGGCACCACTGTAGCTGCCCAGCACTCTACAAAAGCAAGGCTCCTACCAACAGTGTGGGCCAGCGAATGTGGCACTTCACCAGCTGATCCCAACTCCCTATTAACAAGCATTAACCTCTAGGTGATTAGACAAAAATCTTATCTGTCATCAGAACTGAACTCCCAGTCAATGACTGGCTATTATTAGTTGACAGAACATAAACATACAAACCATCATAATCTTTTGAAATAACATTACTTTTTTGTTTTTAAAGGAAAAGGACACGTCACTACATTTTTAATCAGTTTATTTATTCGCTGAACAGTTTAATTTCCTTTGAAAGCTAGAAAATAAAGATCATTTTTACCTTCTTATTGTTGTTTTTCCATATGGTAAACATTTCCCCCTAATTCTCATAAAGGTCAATTTTTAAAAATCTACCCACACACCAAATCACAGAATAGGAATGTGCAAACTCTAGGAAAGCTGTTTGTTAGCTGATTGCTTTTAAGTGGCAGAAGATCACAATTTGGGATTATACTGTGAAAGAACTCTTCTTTTATGCCTTGCTGATAAAACTTGTTTTTGAAGTGGCATATTTTGAATGATTACAATCCAAAAGTAATTCCCAGAGAGATAATATTAACTTTAGAAGTTCTGAGCAAGATACTTGAAGAAATTAGTATTATTTTTTCTTTGACCAGAATTTTTGAATTTGATACATATTTTTTCCAAGTGTCACTTTTTAAAAGGTTACACACTCAGAATACAACCCTTAAATTTGCTTCTTGTAAATACAAGAATGGGCAAAAGTTAAGGTAGTATATTATGAAGGTAAGTGCATTTAGCGTCACATATGAACTTAAGGCCTTAGTTTCTTGATTGTGATTTCAGTATTAGCAACAATGTTTTCCCCTCATGCTTACATACAAGTAAGCAGGCAGACAAAAATTTCTAAACATGTAAGGAATGAAGACAGACAATTTAATCTGTTATCAGTCAATAGAGTTGGACTCTAACCAATGGTAGTAAAATAACCTGATCACATTTCATACAGCAATTAAAAGGAACAGAAAGTAAGTCTATACAACTGGAGTATTTCCTGAACTGTAAAGCAATTAAGAACACTTTTTTTTTGCAGATGCTACCCAGATTATAATCTATCTCAAAACCAACCACTGCATAATGCATTTTGTAGAATGCCTATCTAAAAATACACTGTATTTCGTAGTGTTTATTACCAATGAGGGGTAGGAATTTCTAGCCTAAACACCTAAAGCAAACATATACATGAGACTATTCAACAGTAGCCTGTAATACAAGCTTATGATAGAAAATTTCTCACTTATTAAATAGCATTTTATGTTCATTATTTCAGTCACGTCAAATTAATACAAATATTTTTTTCTACAAAGTGACCAAAAAAAGACACCAAACTAGAATCAGGAAAGTAGATTTCTAGCTACAGCTCTACCTCTAAATACCTATGGGACATGGGGAAAGTTCTCTTAACTCTCATACAGGCCTCAGATTCCTCAACTTTAAAACAAAGGGGTTGAACAAAATGACTTCTAAGGAGCATTCCCATAAAACGGGATTTTGTTATTTTGAGAACTTCAATTTTTAAAAAAATGACAGCCATGAAATGTCAACGTTGATACTTATCACCAATAATGTAGATTATATAGAGTTTAAGCTAAGGAATTACTAATTCTTCATTTATGGGACAAAAATCAAAACTCTCTCTAGCATGCTTTTCATTGTCAGGAAGGGGAAGGAATTTTACAGTGACTGTGAAGTATACAATGGAAACATTACCTGCAGCAGCATGCCAGTAATGGAGAGGTGTTACTTGTGTTTGTTTTTAGTAACTTCTGCATATAAGCAAGAGGTTCTATATAGAAGATACCTCAGAGCCAATGACACAATACATGTGACCTGACAAATCAAAATACACTTAAAATGAAGAGACAACCAAAATACTTAGGCAGTTCACTCATTTATAAAATGTATACACAGACCTGGGCCTAATACGCTTCACTGCACCATATCAAGTCCCAAAGTCCAATCTCCCTTTCAGATAGAAGCTTATCTTTTACAAAACCAACACCTATTTTGGGGATCAAAATTCACTTGTATTAGATTGTACTCGGTTAAAAAAAAATTTTTTTTTGAATACATTTTCTGTTTCCAAAATTTTCTATGCTAATACAATACATATGAAATAAATGCAAGCCCTATAATGCATATTTATACTAAAAATGTGTTTCACACAGATAAGTTTGCAAAGAATAATGGCATTTCTCACAAAGAAGATTCCCAAGGCTTGCTCAATAACAAATTTCTATAATGGGAATTTACTTTGAGTGTTGAATTGGGCAGGAAAAACACCTACTTTTAACTCTTTTTTATAAAATATTATATAAGGAATTATTAGGCTCATTAAAAAGCACTTGACTAGAACAACCAAGAACAAGTCTTTCTTGAGAAGATAAAAAAGAACCTGTTTAAAATGGGATAAACACAATAAAGCCACAAGGCATACACATAAACTGAAAAAAAATTACAACACTTTTATCCTCATGATATTTGTTTATTTTATATTATCTTAACAACAAACTAATTATGATTTTCCAAAATACCAAAAGTAGCTTGAAATTTATCAATTCCTTTCCTTAATAGAATGAGGACTTTCACCTACAAATATTGTAATATCTGGAAGGGTTTCAATTCGAGATAAAATTATGCATTATAAATTTCAAATTATCATAGAGTGGACTCCCTGGTATCCCCTTCTAATGACACAACAGACACAAACAAGCTATCGAGCAAGAATCTGTTAACAGTTTTATTTTTTTTTTATGTTAAATACCATGGGACAGGATTGTAAGGATGAAAAATTCAGTCAACAACTGCCTCACAAGGGATAAGAAAAATTCTGCCATGATATTAGCAAAGGTAAAGGAGAAAATTTACACTGTAAGAGGCACCATTTCCCCACAGAATACCTCTTGGCATTTCCTGAATGAGTGGGATTAGCAATCTAAATAAATCATATTTCAAGAGGTAACAGCAACAGATAAAATTTAAAGGATTATTAAAATAACATTTACAAGACTCTGAACAATTCTTGAACTCTTATTAAAACCACAAAGAAAGAACAATTCTTTATTTATGAATTTCATAAAGGACTGAATGTGCAACTGACATCTG